TGGCGCGACAAAGCAATGATCCACTCCCTTTGTTTGACTGATTTGAAAACAAAAATATTCGTGAGCTGTTGCTACTCTTACCATAAAAACGCTTTTCGAGTTACTCACTTGCCAACAATCTGCGATTAAGAAGGCACTCTGCCCTTTCAGTATGGGTGTCCGCGGACGAGGGACAAATCTCAGGAATAGCCTACATGATGGTAACTTGACAAATGGTGCACGGATGAAAATTGCAATTCGATGTATCATGTGAATTTGCCATTATTTGGCAATTATCCTAATATGATCAGTTGATCCTAATTAAGAAAGAACAATTGTTCTCTGAAACAATGTAATGAAAGGAGGTTTTTATAAATAATGCCTGCTCATAATGGAAAAGGCTTGGTGGATCAGAGACTTTCCATAGATCAGATATTACGAATTGCAGGCGTATGCTTAATTGAGAGAAGAGTAAAAGTACAGGCAAGGGTGGTGAATTGCATACATAACTAAACCTGAGACGCCGGAAGAAGGACGCGAAAAAGAGAACATCAAACACGGACAACCATAGCTGCATTTTTTTTTTTACTTCTTAGTCGGTGGGTTGACTTTATCAAGTGTGGGAACGTTGAGGGCAGTTCTTTTTTCCCCTTTGCTGACACTCTGGGGGTGTGACTTAGTGTGAGGGTTCTTGGCATTGACTGCGGTGTACCCCTATAAAATGGTGTGGTTTTAGTATGAACCTGCAGCTGTGTTCGAGACATTATGTGTGTCGTCCTCTTTTTTGTGTCCTCCTTTTTCCTTCTTCCGGTGTCTCATATTTAGTTATATATGCTTAATCCATGCTCAAAGTGAAGACATGAGCTTGTGCTGGCATTGCCAACCTTGTGTGCATGGTCTATGAAAAGTGCTTAATGTCTGTGGTTAAGAGAGAGGAGTTTCTGCTTTCAAGAACAGCATGGGGTGAATGGAAAAGTGTTCTCACAAACAATGAATTCTCCAGGTTTCCCACTCAGTCTAACGGAAGGATGTAGGATAAGCATTTTGAATTCTTTAGGATTTGCCAAGGGATAAAAAAAAATGCACAGAAAAGTAGGGGGAGGAGAATGGCACAAACATTTTGGGGCTTGTGTTCTTACATTTGAATTTTTTGTGCAGGAAGCATTAAGGCCCGTTCACACTCTTGCAACCGAGTACGACCGTGAGAGACAAGTCCGGTTTTCAAGCCACTTGCAATCTCTTAGGACCAGCTGCGTTCTGGCGCATCCCGTCCTAAGAATTCGCAAAAGGCTTAAAAACCGGTCTGGTCTCTCTCGGTCTTACTCGGTCACAAGAGTGTGAACGGCACTTTACTGAAACAGCACTTCAGTCCTGGGGGCAATAAGTCATTGCTAGTCAATACCTGATTCCACTGATGCATATCAGGCAAACACCTCTTAAAGGGCCCCTGGAAAAAAAAAAGTTTTTTGAACAGTCTGATAAGGACACTCGTGCCAAAAAATAAATTTTATGCGAAAATAATTAATTTTTTAGAGCAATATTGACGGCAAGAGATTTATTTTAAATTCTGCGCGCAAAGTCCATGACGTCCTGGAATGGTCATTCGCTCTCGCCACCTCAACACGAAGGCGAAGCTGATCTCCCTCTCCTCTACTCGCTCGAAGTGCCCAGAGGAAACAGGTGGAAAGGAGGTGACTACCGACTAAATGGCGTCTCGCGCCGTCAATATTGCTCTGACCAATTTTTTTTTTCACATAAAATTAATTATTTGACACATGTGTCCCAACAAGTCTGTTTAAAAAAACATTTGTTTTTCTTTTCAGGGGCCCTTTACTGAAACAACTTTGCTCTCATTGTTGTAATTTAACACTATTGTGGGAAATGACTTTCAGGAAGCATGAACTGCAAAATTCGCACGTGAAAAGGATTGGTAATTTTTAACAAGATGTTTTGTCTCTTCCAGTTGTACCAAAAAGTGCATAAGGGGTGGACGTTACTTAACCATCATTTCAATCCTGGGGACCAGGAGTCATTGCTAACCAGGGCCGGTCACTGTTAGCCAAAACAAGACTTCATAGGTGCATATCAGGTTAGTACTTTTTTCTGGTATTTATTTTTTTATTTTAACGACACTTGTTAAAACCTGTTAAAATTTCTTAGGACGAGAAAACACACTGCCACGCTGGCGCCATCTATGCGGTGACCATGGAACTGCATTTAACAAAAGCGAATGTTTTGCGGTATTTCCGAGGTCAAATGTGCGTAATACCTATTAAAATGGCTCGTTTATAACGTTGACAAAAGTTTTTTGAGCCAAAAAAAGGATAATGCGCGAGAGAAATATAAAATATGCCAGTCCGCAATGCTTACACTGCTACCCAATAGATGGCGTCAGTGTGTCCTCTCATTGTAAGAGGTTTCAATGAACCCATTCCTCTGAGGTCGCAAGAGTGTTAACGGGCCTTAGTTTGTCTTTTACGTCCAAAAACCTTTTTTTTTTTTTTGCTTTTTTTTTTTTCTTTTTACGCCGGTAGCAGCAAAGCAAGGGCGAAGTAGATGAAAGCCATCACTATTACTGCTACGAATATGTCTCTCTAGAAGAATGGTTTAGTAGCCTTCACACACAACCAGGAATTGCTAGAAAGATTATGCGGGCGCAGCGTCCAGCAATCGGATAATTCGGTCTTTGAATGCCAGGGAGTTGGAGGCTAACAGCGATACATAGAAGGAGCCGCCCGTGGTGGTTACGCAGTCTTTCATCTAATTTTTGAGGCGCTATGGGTGAAAAGATGACCAGATGATTTAGTGTTAGGCGACCTCCTGAACGGGACTCATGACCCAACGGGAGAACGCGCCTTTGTACCAGGGCGGCAGGGATTCTAAAAGATGGTGACGCCTTTCTGGTGACGGACGCCTTTCAATCCTGCGATAACCTTGCAACTTGTTTTGGTTCAAAGCATGGGAACGTCAATCCTTCGAAATTTAGAGTTTATCCCTCTGTTGTTGACAGAACGAGAATTTATCTATTTTGAAGGGATGGACTTGACCAGCTGGAGTAGGTAGGGGCGAGTAGGCAGAATCTTTCGAGCGGCGGCAGACTGTTGCCTTCTGAGCGGATGTCTCTTTCCAGCGAGACGGCTGCTCCTTCAGGGCACGGCGACGGTGGCCTTAGTAGCTTCCATACAAACACTGCACCAAGGACGGTCAGGAATTCCGCAAGGCGATAATCTTGCGTCTTTTGGTTCTGGTTGTAAAAACGTTGTAAGTGTTTTCTGAGGGAGTTTGAAATGACGTAGCTTATACAAAGCTTTGTTGGGGTTTCTTTGCCAGTTTTTGTAGCGCGGAGAATAAAATTATTTTGCTTTCAAACTATCATGCTGCCATTTTTAATTGAAAGTAACGAGTAACGGCTAGCGTAATTTCATAGCAGATACCGTAAAATAATAACGACATTACTTCACTCGTTACTCATTTGGGATTCTAGCGGGTACGTTACTACGTTACTATCGTTACTTGTAACGAGTTCGTTCCAACACTGGTTCTACAACCCATCTTCACAAATCAGGTGATTTGTTTTCACCTCTAAAATTAAACCACATTGCTCTCTTTCTAAACTTCCGCAGTCGTATCATGAGAATTACGAAATCCGAGAAACCAGTTTTAATAACGCTCGACAGCTGTTTGAGGGCTTTGTGTAACGCATACGGCAAGTTGAGAACGGGAACGTGTTTAGAATGTCCCCTTTTGTTTAGCTTCAAATGGTAAACGAAGTAGGGAGGCGTTAGTCGTTAAAATATTGTACTTGGCTCGAAGGTTCTTGGAATCTGTTGTGTCACTTGTCTGGCGGCGGGTAAGTTCGCTACTTTCGAACTTGCTTCATGTACCGCAGTCTCGGGTAGTAACGCGTTACTGTAACTTTGTTACTTTTTAGGTAACTTGTAACTATAACGAGTTACTTTTTTAAAAATGTAACTGGTAACTGTAGTTCCATTACTTTTTTCTGAGGTAACGATGAAAGTAACGAGGTTACTTTGGTCGTTACTTTCCAGTTTTTTATGAATAACATATGATTGAACGAGTACAATCTCGCTATTCTTTAACTTTCCAAATTGTCTGTTCAGACATTTCGAGTGTCAAGTTGGTCATGCACAAACTTTTGAATACGTTCTTTCTTGCGAGTCACGACCCGAACGTGTTGATGTGATGAAAAAAAATCTAGTTATCTTTACGTACGCGCGTGTACTTTCTGGCTGAACACTTACATCTTAGTATCTTGAAGCACTATCTATGCTGTGGTTGTCCTTTTTTCTGCGCAAACGCTTATTAATCGGGTGAATCAACCATGAAACAACAATACACACAAAGGGCACTGCGAATGTTTCGTATTTTGGTTAGCGCCACTGCTCCGCACTGCGCATGTTTCGTATTTTGATTTGCGCCACTCCGACATGGTGTCAACAGTCGAGGCAAAATTTACTGCTGTTTGCGCGGGGTTTGCTCGTTGCTCTTGTTGCGCGGGGTCCGTTCAGCAAGGGCCGGGACGTGTTCGCCATCAAACGAGGGGAACTTCCAGTCACTAATTTTGAGAAGCAACTGCTGCTATGATACAATATGAAGTAAAAAGCGTACATTTTTACTTTTATTAAATAAAACTCAGTGAGGGGCGTTTTCGAGTATTTCCCAAATTTTTCCTGTTATAGAAAAGTAACTGAAAAGTAACGTCGTTACTTTTTAAAAGTAACTGTAACTGTAACGAGTTACTCTTATGGTGCGGTGAGTATAACGGTAACCTCGCTACATTTTTCTGAAAGTAACTGTAACTGTAACGAATTACTTTTTAAAAGTAACTTACCCAAGACTGATGTACCGTAAATTCTATTTCAACCCAAACAACAATATGCAAATTAGTAAACACGTTGCGGCTGCACCCAGAAACAAAAATAGCAAAAATTTATTGCAAATCATAATTTTCGTTTCAGAAGTGGTGTCGATTTTTACTCAAAAAGGAATTGCCTACCTCAATGTTTTGCCTGCTTGCCGTGAGCATAATTATGATCGTCACGAGCCAGACCGAGTGCTCACTCGCTACGTGTAAGACATTTTGATCTATATGTAAATCAGAAAAGACAGCTGGGGGTGGGGAAATAAGAAGCACAAGCTACCCGCTATAGACCTTTCTCAAAAGTCGACACCTGTGTGGCTATCAGCACAAACTTCACAAAATCCGCCATCACTGCTTCTCTTCGTTGTTCAATATTCGGTTCCTCTTACAACGTACACTCTTAATCTGGAGCCACCTAGGGAGCCACCTATAGCCGTGACAATTGAGATCGAGCTTGTCACGGCAAATTTTGGGGCCACCTAAAATTGCCAGCCCGTTTGCCGTCTCTTTTTAGGTGGCCCCAAAAATTGCCGTGACAAGTTGGATCTTTCCGGCCAGTTTTTTAGCTGGCCCGTTTTATAGCTGGCCCGTTTTCTAGCTGACCCGTTTCCTAGCTGGCCCGTTTTCTGCTGGTTATTAAAATGTCCCGTCGTCCACTCCCCCGCAGGATATTTCGGAGGGTCCAGGACTGTGATCCACTAAGAAAGCCAGGGGATTGAGAAGTACAGGGAACTTTCATCGTAAAAATTAAAGCTGTGACGTGGCACAGAACCTGACGTCTTCTTGTGAGACTTCATGCACATAGTCACGTCGCAACTTCATTTTTGAGTCGCAAATATATATGGGAAAAGCAATGCCAAGCTCAATTTGCATACTTTAGAGATTGAATTCCCGAGTGCTCTAGGGGAAAGTAAATATGCAGGGATTGGTTGAAGAACAAGGTCGATGGTTTCTCAACGTTTAAAAGAACCGTGGCTCCGCAAGTAAAGAATCTATTTTTATATTTAAATTAGATGCACAGCTGAAGATACAGGTGTTGCTTTCTTGTAATAAATAGCATATTCAAACAATAAAATAGAAAGTTATATGAAAACTTGTGTCACTTGCTGAAACATTGGTGGAAGCATGGTCGTTGCTTTCACTTGACACACTTGGCGATCGAGGACCCGCCGCAGTTGAAGGTGCGCTCCCCGAGCCAAGTGTGTTGCAGTCAGCCGGAACTTTGTGCCACAACACGGGTCTCCGTGGCACGTCCGAAGGTTAGTTGCCTCTGTCGCCAAGGCATGATGCTGCTGTGATTAAGAATTTTCAGCATTTTATTGTGAGAGAATAAGGGAGAGAGAACATGTCTTGTATCTTAATTACGTTCCAAAATTTATCAAACAGCTGTCTTTTTTTTAGAAAGTAGCTTGCTGGACGTTAGAGTCTATTCAAATGCTGAGTCATCGGTCACAAACATGGCCTCTAACATCACGTTTATTCATATGCTCTACGGAAAACCAAAGAAAGCAAAAGAAATTCGCCGATTAGATAACTGTATTTGCTTTCGGCGGCCACGCTTGTGTGTAGTTACTCGACATTAAAAAGCAGTCTGACGGCATATGGATAGACCCTATAGCTTTGGTGGCAGTTTGAAGAGTGGGAACAAAACAGGAAATTTTGACTCTACGAGGCAGGGGAGCTGAGGTTGTCCACTTCCCAGGATCTAGAGGTCCACGGCTATATCATACAGGCTGCGTCATGAAACGCCGACTAAATCGTTGTTCAAAAACTACACAAAAAGCTAATTTTGTTTAATATGAAAATTCATATAGTTTGACGTTCAAATAGTTATGGTGTCAAATATTTTGAATAAATAACTTTCTGTAAATACTAAATTTAAAAGTATGGTCAGGTCAGAGTAAAGACCTTGCTAAACTGCGTCAAATACTGTAAAACAGAGTGTTTGACTTTTTTTTGTTTAAAAAATATTGCTTAATACAATACATTTCTTAAATTCAGTTAGCCTAATAAAAGTTCATAAACTCATTCACACAAAAATAACGTTTCGGCCGACGTAGATCGTCGCGTGAGCAAACGAGGGTGCACACACAAGGGCAAACTTAGTGTATTCTAGATGTTACATTCACCGTCAATTTTAGTATAAATTTTCCTTGTGCGGCCGTCCTCCTTTGCTCAACGCGATCGTCGACGCCGGCAGAGACGCGCGACTATATACCTCGGAGGGCAAGCTGATGAGTGCGCCGTATACGCCGTGCTCTATCGGTGGACAGTTTGGCAAAGAGAAAAATACCCCCTCTAAACTATTTACACCTTGTCGCTGTAAAATGCTGGTGGCCATCGTCGAGGCATAGCCGGCTAGATTTCTTCGCCTCACATTACCGTAGGCAAATCGTAAGGGCTGCGACTGTGAACCGGTAGCTTTAAAAATTGTCACCCACCACGAATGCTTGTGCACAGCCGAGCCGGCGTCAAACACGAAGAGTCCGCGTTTGTAGCCATTGTGGTAAGTCCATGCCAGGGTGTAAGATAGACAGGTGGGGAAACGGCCCATAGAAGCCTACCGCAGCGCCGTGACCGGATTTTGTACTCGTCTGCATGCGGGTACCGCCGATTTGCAACAGATGGCGCTGCGGCGAGAGGAAAAAAATTGGAATTGAATTTGCATGGAACTTTATGGGAGAGCGCGTAAAATAAACCGAGATCACAACATTCCTTCATTGAAAATCCAAGAGAAATCATCTCCGTCAGTTTAGTCGGTCGCCACCGGTCGCCCACCCGGAGTTAGAGTTCGCGGTGCTCCACATAGATGGCGCCACAGAAAAAGAAAAAACCGAGGGGGACACAATCCGGTCGCTCATTTGGCTCTCGTTTCCCCACCTGTCTATCTTACACGCTGGTCCATGCTAAGGTGAAACGAAGTAAACCTATTATCCGCTTGCCACCAGCGACGTTAGCCGATATCCGAATAATATGCAAAGTGGCGATTCCAAACGTGCTTTTTAGAATACAAAAATATTGTGTAGAGATACCTGCATCGTCCAGGACAGGGTCCGACTTGTCCTCTGTTGGCGAGAACAAAAGTTACTAGTCAGGAACTTTTTCAGCAATGGACTCTATTCCGTTATTAGCCAGTGAGCTACATAATTACCTAGTCGGTTATGCCGTAGAGGATTGTGCCCGCAGTAACGGCACCAGCCAAGTTGGCTCAGTAGTGGTGGTCGTGCTCGTCGTGCCGCCAGATCAGCGGGCCGTGTGAACCCGTCGCATTCGCATGTTTCCTCATGGTTACACCGCCCGCGTCGAGTTCCTTTAATATTCTTCGACGTGAGCATCCTGAAGAACTAACTCACTGTCCCGCGGCTTCGGTGCATTCTCTAACATAGGCTTACATCAACATGATAAGAAAACAAATGTCACGGGCAGATCCTTCTGATTAGATTCGTACTTCGTACGTTCGAAATTCATCGTCCTTGCACACCAAGAAATGATCGTCATGCGCATGCGTGCCCGCTGGCTGCGCCCGCGGGGAACGCTGGGCGGCCCAACTGCCGCCATCTAGTGGAGAGCAGAGTGTTTTCTTCCCACTATTATGCGCATAGTCGGCCCGTTTTTGCCGGCCCTGCACAAACGGGCCGCCAAAAATTACAGGGCTGCCTACGGAGCCTACTATATAGTCATTCGCACCATCAAAGAGGGGAAGGTGCGAACACCAAAATAGCCGTTGTACACGGCTATTTTGACGGGGCCGGATCAGTTCGTGGCTAAGTCCTGAAAACTTTGAACGTCACGGCTCTGGCCGTGACGTTTCACGGCCCCAGATTAAGAGTGTACCACCACTCACGTTTCGAGAAATCCCAGTCAATTCAGCGGCGCCGTAAACGCATCACGTGTCTACGCGCCTCACGTCTTGCTGCGCATTCCTCGAAGAACACGTGACAGTCACACGGCATTGGGTTGGCTGTGATGGCTGGAACCGGCCTCTGCGGTCCATCGTATACGAAGAAACGTGATAAAGAATCCTGCGTTGGTGTGCTTACTCTGTGAGATGCCGACCCACTGCTGCGTCCTAATATAATGCAAAACAGAATAAAAACTCTGAAAGATGGAATCGAAACAGTGTAAGATCCTCTTTCGAAAATACGTGCCAAAAACGCGAGGTCAGAATAAATCGGGTCCATGCAGATCCACGCGGAACGGGCAGTCTCCCACAGTATGTGTGAGGTGGCATTGGCTCTATGTAGATAACAGCGTCTGAGATGATATAGGTATCCTACCATGACTTTGATATTAAATTAAACGCAATCATACTAGCCGGTATGCCCAAGCTACGAGAGGTGCACATTCCTAATTTCCGCCTTATAAAAGGGCTGCAGCTCCAGGACACATAGAGGTCGAGATAAAGCACTTTCTTGATATATATTAAGTCAAGATGTGTTTTTATTTTAGAACAAGTTGTTAATTTATATAACAAATAAATAAGCCGGAGTCCCAACTTCAAAAAAAAAAAAAGAAAATAAAAACTGTTCAAGGGACCCCGATAGCAATAAAGGGGTCAGTTAGCCGTCCAAAGTTACCCTAGCAATTAACAACAATCAAAGAAACAACAATGTAAATAAACTAAAACAAAGTTTCACAAAGTGAAGGACCAATTGTGGTATATATGACAAATAAAGAAAACAAAATCAAATTTAATTAAAGTAAAAAATAACATTATACAATGCCTATGCAGAGTCAGAGGCGGAACAAAAACCTCTCAATATAAAAATTTTAAACTATTAAGAAGACAAAACGAGACAACGAGAAGCTAAGGAAGAAGAGAGTTGCTATTTATGTCCGGTATGCCTATAAGGATATTTGCATAGGAAGGATGATAAAGTGTGTCGAAAAAGAGCAGGACCGATAGACACAAAGCATGTTGAAGAGTTATACAGACCGTCTCTATACACGTATAGCTGTTTTGAAGGAATAGAAAGATTGTACGGCAGTTAGTCATTGTGCAATGGAGTTTCATGCTTTTTGTTGCGATGCGCCTGAGTCAGTCATTATGCATGGTACCGATGGGACGCTTCAGAATAAGAACGCAAAAGATACATGACGTTTTGTATGCATAAATTGATTCGATGAACATGTTCCCTGGTTAATTACAAGTTTAAAGGTTAACAAGAATACAGTCTAAGCTCATTACAACAGACCTCTTTACAACATACATTTGGATATAACATATCGATTTGTGAAGTTCAATCGGTTTTCCTCTACATACCATTGAATCAACTTCATATCTGCTTATAACATACCCCTTTTACAACAGACTGAAATTTTGGTCAAAATCAAGATTTGATATAATGAGCTTAGCCTGTATACGGTAGTCGCGACACTGAGGAATTGTTAAAATGTTTAGAAAAAATTATGAAAACTTAGCGCTTTCGAGCCTCATTGATAAAAGACATTGCTCGAAGGGCTGTATTGTGGGCAGTTTATTTTTTATAGGTTTGAGTGGTGTTTTGTATGTTAGTCCATAAATAGGTAATCTGTGCGAAATATGAGTATAAATGAAGCAACAATGAAACATGTATTTTTTTGTAGAGCGCAGCTCTTAGGCGCCCGTTTCCGGCTTGAGCGGCGTCGGCGTCGCCGTAACCGTGAGGTCACGTGACCCCCGCCCCCACTCCCCCTATGTCACGTGACCCCCCAGGTCACGCGAAACTCTTGGTCAGTTGACCCCCCCCCCCCCCTCCCCCCGAGGTCACGTGACCCCCAAGTCAGGTGACCCCCCCTTCCTTGAGGGGGAGGAGGGGGGAGGAGGAGACGACGAAAGGAGGTCGAAGGACGAAGAGAGGAGGAGGAGGTGAAGGAGAAGGAGGGGAAGGACCAGTAACAGGCAGGATATCGAGGTGAAGAGGAGGGAGGAGGGGTATACCCTCCCCTCAGTGCCTTTCCCTCCTCGTCAAGAGCTGCGCTTGAATTCGGTGTTACAGGAAAAGTAAGAGCAGAAATAAATAAGACATCGCTATCATTACCAATCATAAGAGAATAATAGGCCTATTGCTATATTACCAAGCGTCATGGAGGATGCAGAGATTGGTGTTCCACGCGCCGCGCGTGCTGGCCTCAGCAGTAGTAACTTTTCTAAAGCAAATACCTCAAACAAATGGCCTCCTGCACGCGCGTTCGTCAAGGCTTTATTTTGGCTATTTACTTCGGATCATTTATAAGGGGAAGGCGTGTGCCTGTAGAGTGTGGAACACCAATCTCTGCATTCTCCTTGATGCTTGGGTAATATAGCCACGGCCACTCGATTAGGACTCCCCTTGGGAGCGGCCTGCCGTACGCCTCACTCCGCCGGTGAGAGCGATAGTTCTACTTTACCCCGCAGCGCCAGCCGTGGCCCTCGTTATCGGTGAGAGATAGAGTTCCTTTCGGTCGGGGGAGCATATCGAGGAACTCTATACTTCGTTTCACGTGAGTATGTACTTGTTAGCCCTGCGTGCTAAAAGCGCGAGATAGTTGCTTCGAAGGAATCCTCGGCAGCTGCATGAGCGCTCGTGCGGCCAGTGCTCCATTCGGGGCAGTAAAGGCTAGCCGCTCGCGCTAGCACAGCGTTCGCGGTTAGTCCATGCTAAGGTAAGACAAAATATAGTGAGAGAGGAGCAGTACGCCCGGCCCGGCCCGGTGTGGCGATTTAGATTTTTTTTTCTTGAAGCCGCAAGTCTCAATTGAAACGAGTCCCAGATTGCATGAATGATGTGACAAATTTGTGTAGAATAAAAGCACATGATTCTTTCTACGAAAAGGTCACTCAGCAGCAGGCTGCGCGTTAAAGCTCCATTCTGCTGGCAGTATGAGCGAATTGCCGTTTTCTTGTTCCCGTAAGTGTTGCCCCGTTCCTATTACCGCTTTAATATAGGAGTTATAGTTGGATATAGCTAGGCCGTGTGATTTCCCGTTTTAACCGACGCTCGAGCACGCGCGAGCTGTGCCATTATTCATCTGTGACGGACAATATAAAATCGGATTCCGCGTGCATAACTTCAGCATTATAAACTTCATTGTTAACAAAAAAAAACAGACCAAGGGAGTCATTTAGTTCACAAGCGGAGTACCTTTCGGGAAAAAGGCTTTCGCGAAAGTGAGCTCTTTAGGTCACCAGCCCAGTTTGCCAAAAATATATGAGGAGTTTTCTGAGAAAGAGCTCGCACAGCTCTTCGCTGGGGTAGGGGTCTCGGCAGTTAACATACCATATCAGCGGGGAGTCCATAAGGTGTGGAAGCACAGCGCTAGAGAGGACCTTGCAAATCCTTCCACAACCACGAATCTCTGCCGACTGTAGAGCCCTCTCGACAAACGTGCAGACAAGCTTGCACAGCCAGATAGCTTCAGGTGGTGGATAGCTGAGTCCTCCTTGGTCAAGGCTAACCATGGACTGATATGCTCCGTCATGTGATGCATTTCCCTTAAGTTGCGCTTGCATTCAGGACACGTCACCTGCAAAGTTTAGCGGGTTCTACACATTAGCCTTCCTTGCTTTCACTGAGAAATTCTTATTGCTTTGCAAGGTTGAATGTTTCAGCTAATTACTTTGAAATTACGACAATTTCTACAAAAAAAAAGTGGCCACCTTTTGTTCGCAAACGAAGACCAAGTAGCCAGCCATGTAAGTCAGCGGTGCGAACTCAAGTTCGGAAGAGACTTTATTGTACTTCATCAACTGCCGGATTTCCTGTTTCGCGAGTGGAGTTTTTCACATTTAATCGCCGTCTGGCACTCGGAACTAGAACGGGCATTTATATCTCCGGCAGCTTCCAAAATGCCAACACAAACCACACACGCAAGCGCAGAGTGACACTACGATATTTTCGCCGAGCACAGCGGTGCATAGGTGGGAGGAAAGCGAGTTTTGCTGCCTTCTGCAACCGCGGCAGCGCCTCGGTATCGGCGAAGCCAATGACAGGCAGATATTAGACCGCGCTGCCCCCTCTGCTAAGCGTTCCACAACGAAGAAGTTGCTACTGCGCCTGAGCGCCGATAGCCTTCACTTTTTAAGTTCCCGTTATCGTAGCGGGTTGCGGAGGGCCTTGCGGGACGGCGAGAACGATCTACGAAAACCCCCTATTTTATCTGGGTAGCGGAGCAAGAGCTTGGGCGCCTTCTCTATACTCCGTTTCAGCTTATGTTGTACCGCAGCGAAGGCTGGAAGCGCGAGCTCATAGCGTTGACAGCTGCCCTTACTGCACGAGAGCTTGCGCCGCCGAGATCTGCCCCAGAGCAAGTAGCTCGCGCTTACAGCCTTTCCTGCGGTACAACATCAGGTGAAACAGTGTAGCTTTCAGCTCACAAGACCGCTCACCGATGTGCAGCGCCCCCACGGAAAATGGGAGAAGTTCTCCTCTCAGCGCGCCCTTTTGTTTTCAGAAGGACATCGGCAAGCCGCACCAACAGGGGGATCGAGTGGCCGTGATATAGCAATAGATATATTAGAGTGCGAAAGACATGTCGGAAGAAAAAAAAATTTCCAATGTCCGTCAAGTATAAAGCACATGAATTGGCATAGCCTGAAACTCACTGTGGGCGAGCCATAAACAAACAATGAAAATTCTAATGGGAGTCCGACAGGATTCAACATTCCTAAGCATTCCCCGAAATACATTTCTGCAGGAAAAGTAGTCTGTCTAATGCAGTATTCATTGACAGGCACAACGAAAGCAGATTTCGAAGGTAAAGTAGCATAAAAAAAAACATATTTTAGCTCGTGAAAAAGCAAAACGGCATTGCGACATAAAATAGCTAGTTTTCCATACATGGTACACAACACATCACTCTGAAATTTGTCGAACGAAAGCTAGACACAGGTACGCAGTGTCCTAAATAGGAGGGAGCAGCATTGAATCAGTGCATAAATAAATCAATAAATAATAAGGTGTAAGGGCTTGGTGTCATCAAGATTCTTATGTCATATACAGTCATGTCTCGTTAACATTGACACCTACATTCAACAAAAATATTGTTCATGATGCGAGTCGTTCATGATGACGAATCAAAGTCAAGTTCGCAAATAAGAAACAACAAGCGTTCCGCAGAAGCCTACCATAGCATATCCATGCCTTTGACCTGCGAACCATATTCTTTTTATCGCAATCATTATGCATACTGAAGATGAAGCGGAAAAGGAAACTTCAATGTGTTTTTTCAGATTTTTATATATTTGATTTTGCATTGCTAGGCGAAATGTTAAATGTTTCGCCTTGACGTGGATTTTCTACTTACTGCTGAGCAGGGCGATATGCCTAAACAAAGTGTTCATGTCATCTGAGCCCACTAAAACATTGCAAATTATCCATCCCTTGTCGAGGTAACCTTACAATGCCATTTTAATCGCAGAGTAAAAAATAAAAAACTGGGCATTTTGACTTGGCTTGAATGGGATAGCACAAACTTAAGTGGCATCGAAAAAAATATGCATTGGATCTCTTGTCAACATTTCAACAGGTTTGCCTTGCGAATCATGACGGCGAATTTTCACTTGTAGACAACAATAATATAACACTTAAATCCTGTTTCGTCCTATTTAACTGAAGTTGCACTTTCTAACTAGGAAAGAACTGGCAGTTCTTATAGGGGCCGGTAGTAGATAATTTATAACGGTGATGGAAGCTGTCGAGTTAATTTTGAGGAAACAATGTCCTCACGAATATTCTTTTTTTTAGCTCCACGCTCCACTGGGTGCTTGCTTCGAGTTACATAAATTGGGTCACTTGGAATTCAATACAGAACTTGGTGCTTGGCTTTTTGTATGTTTTCCCATTGTCGGGGCACCAGAGAAGACATCAGTAGCTTCCGTAGGACATCACCTGGTCACGCGAGAGAAGAACAAGAGACATCAATTGGATCATCAACAACGCGCTCCCTTGGTACATTGCAAAAGCGTCCAAAATGAGCGGCGGACAAAATATCACCATAATGCACTGTAGCGAATACAAGAGAGCGGTGGAAATCAGTTCGTCGTATCCACGGATCGTTTCGTTTGCATGCGACGTTTCATCGACAATTCGTTTCGTTGAAAAACTGCCCGCGTTAGCTTCCACCACGCACTTTCATACCTTTTGACGTTTTGTAGAGCACAACGCTGCTGTCCTTGTAACAAACATTTTTAGTCTCTCCTGGATTAGATGGGGGTGGGGGATGGCTTCTATTGAGTTACGCACTTGGTAAAACAAAATACATCGCAGCAGCACGTATTTACTGATACAAGTTCCCACGAAACAACACAGTGTCGACGAAACGGGTGTAGTAAAAGTGCGGATCGTGTTTTGGTGTTTTCATGAAGTATACTTCGACGAAATGGTACGAACCAGTAAACTTACCTTCTGTTCAAGGAAGGCCACCTGCTTTGACCGAAGCTACCGCGCAGAAAACTTATTCCAGCAGCGAGCCGATCTACGTGCCGGCGTTCACCATCTAGCTGCTCATGAAGCGGCCGTTGCGTACAAAGCGACTGCGTGCGACCACGCGGGACCGGCGTGACCCGAGGACGCTCGCCGCCGGCCGGCGGGTCGGCGCCATAAATATCGTGGCCTATGTCACGAAAAATATAAAAGTTATTTAAAAATATTAATTACCCAAAATGGTCTTTAAACATCTCAATTTTCGGACGAAGTATTTATTCGCACAACCTGCATAAGTTCAAAATATCTTATACAGAAGCGCCGCTGCGCGTACGGCATTAGACGCACCTATATGGGCCGCAAATCGGCTTCTGTGTCCTTTCTTTGCGTTTACTATATTACTCCATGACTACGCCGCTTTTATGAAGACAAAGACGGTCGTTTTGACAAAAACCCGATGTCTGTCAATTTGTCAGCGCCGGAGAGAGAGGGAGAGGTTGGCGTGTGCTGACACCAGAGCTTCGCACCAAATGGAGCGTCGCATGTGTGTAGACCAAAAAACATCCCCACACACCGGTAACCGTCGCCTCCTCCTTATCCCTCCCTGTCCCGCGTTGGCAAACGAGAGGCACCGCTGGGTTTTTGTCAAAACGAGCGTTCTAATGCTATCGCATTACAAGACACCTCTAGAGCTATCGTTGGATTCTGGCTTAACTTACGAACATTTCGCTTCGTGAATACGGATGTGGGCGTATGTTTTACCGTACGCACTTCTTGTCATAAGCTTGTTTTGTGATTCTGGCCTCGGAAGCTTGCGCAGTGATTTCTACGATCTAGATTGTTTATTATCTACCCGACAGCATCATTCCGACTC